ACATCAATGTGACTGGTCGATTCCTATTATCGCAGTCCCAGTGCAAAATGTGCTGTCCCACATACTGCAAGAAGGCTTGCCTAAGGCTTGAGAAGCAGCAACTTCAGGACCAGCAGCTGAATCATTTTTTTTTTCAGGAACTTTAATCAAGTTATGAAAGCAGAATAAGAACAGACCTTCACTTATTAAATTTGCTGAGTTTCCACAGAACAAGTCTTGATAAGCTTGATTGATCTTTGGGCAGAAATTTCACGAATCTGTTTAATAGTAAAGGAAAGCCCTCTCTCCCATGGTTTAGCAAAACTGAGCAATACACTTGGTCATATCTTTGGGTGACAGCCCTGCAGTCAACATTTTGGATGCTGTTGAAGAGCTCAGAGCTCCTGCTCCCTAAGAGATTGCTCACCAGAACATTCTAACAGTACCGAAAGACCTTTTACAATCTGGAGTTAAAGGTCATCAGACATTTGGCCAATTTCTCTGCAGGCAGCAACCGACATGGGCCAAACTCTGAAAGGTTACTTATGATCAAGATAATTTGAAAATTGAAATGTTGGATTTATAATCCAAAATTTGGCAAGGTGAACAAACATCAATGATGTGGACTTTGCCAAAGATAATAAAACCTCAGTAAGTTGGAGACAAAGGAAATTATTCAAAATGAATTCAACTGTTTCTCTACAGAGTTCACCTGTGGCAAAATATGCTACACAGCTTTGGTTCAGCGTGCTATTGGATACTTTCATAAGCCAGGGTTTACAAAACTTTTGCCACCAAAACAAAACAAAAATAAAAAATGATTAGATGTCAAGCTTGCTGCAAACGTTGCCATGTCAGAAGCAAAGTTTTCTTCTACTTCTTCATCAAACCTCAATGTCCTTCAAATTAATAGTTGGTGATACCCTCAGTTGAAGTTCAAAGTTTGGCTGTGCTTAAACATTTTTGATTTATTTCCTTTTCATAATGAAGTGGTTATTAATTTTGTATTAAATGAGCAAGAGAGACATAGGTTTATAAAGAATTTTTTAATATTCTTCTAAGTATAACCACATAGAAAAGGATGTGTAATTTATTTCTAATATCATAAAATATGTTCTATCTAAATTTTTGTGCCTTTTAAAGTGCTTTTTGTCTATAAATTCATAGCTTTCATCAGTTTCAAAGAATTCCACAATCTAAAAAAAAATATCCTGAAAAAAAACCCCAGTCTTCTGCTTTTGATATTGACCTCTGGTAACATACGTATCATCTCACAACAATCCAAGATTGTATGGAAGGAAATCAAACCACAACACTTAGAAGAAAATAAAGATAAATATTTAACACATTTCAAGCTGAGAAAAGACTTTATGAACAACAACAAAAATGAGAGAAAACTGATTTCACTGACAAACCTAGACATCCCTGTCAAACAAAAAACAACAGCAAATTAGGAAAAATATTTGTACAACATACAATAGTTAAACAACTTTAAAGAGCAAGAAAACATAGACTCTTCACTAAATAAAGGTAAAAAGATATAAAGGAAATACTTTCAAAAAAGAAAATACAAATGGAATAAAAATTCTTAAAAATAATCTCTTTAATAATAAAAATTTCAAGTTAAAGAGGACCATTTGGTCTATAATATATTTTTTCAAAGCTACATAAGGAAAAGCTATGAAGGAGATGAGCACTTTGGTATATCATGGAATAAAAGACACTGGTATGTTCTTTTGGGAAAACAATTTTGTAATGTGTATCAAATGTTTATAAGATGGTCACTTTCTTTAGTTCAATAGTTAATTTCAAATTATTTATGTATAAGGGAAAAGTTAAAAATATAAGTAGAGATTTTATGTAAAAATAGTTTATTTCATTTCAGTGTTACTGATTTTTTTTTAAATCTGAACAAGTCAAAGTCAAGAAAATGGTTAAACATATTGAAGCACATCTATATATTGAATAAGCAAGCCGTTAAAATGGTGTTTGTAATGAGTTTCAGTGTTTATGATGATAAAAAACTGGTAATCTATTAAAAAGAAGTAGTAAAAAAGGTGGTGATGTACATCTGTAATCTCAATGACTTGGAAGGCTGAGACAGGAGGATAACAAGTTTGAGRTCAGCCTCAACAACTTAGCAAGACTATGTCTCAAAATATTATTTTAAAGAGCAGGGGATGTAGCTCAGTGGTAGAGCACTTGCCTAGCATGTACAAAGACCTGGTCCATTCCCTTGTACTGCTAAAAAAAAAAAAAAAGAAAAAGAAAAAGAAAAAATGCTGAAAAGAAAATGTTTAAAGTAATACGATAAAAATGTTTAAGTGTTTACAGTGTCAGTGTTTCAGGTGAATTTGGGTGATTAATTTTATTTTCTCTAGTACGTAAATTAGCTATAATTAGTATATATTACTGTCACTTGATTAAATTTAAACATTTGAAGTTTAGCTTATGGACAGAGGCAGAAATATTTTAAAGAAAAACATTATATGATGTAAATGAGCAAATATGAGTACAAAKCTTCAAAATCTTTAATGAGAGAAAAGACTTTATTTTATTTTTTCTCCAATTTAGCTATTCAGTGGCACTAACTTTTCTGTGACTTGGACGTTGTTGAGTGTTCTTTAGTGTCAAATCATAAATTAGTCATTGTCTCCAAACTGAAAAATCAACTTTTCAGACAAGAAAATGAGGAAATGATGTGAGACTGGTGAGTTTTTCCTCCTGGAAACTAGCATGACTTATAAAAAGAACTAAAATAATACAGTATAGTTGATCCTGGAATACCATGGGCTTGAATGGCACAGGTTATCTTACATGTGGATCTTTCTTTCTTTTTGGTGGGGTGGATTTGTGACAATTTGAAAAAACTTGCAGGCAAATTGAATAGCCTAGAAATACTGAAAAACTTTAAAAAGTGATTTRCCAGGAATGAACAAAGCATACATATATAATAGCCTATTTTATCATTTACTACCCTAAAATATATACAAATCCACAATAAAAGTTAAAATTTATTAAAGTGTATGCACAGTAAAGCTGACCATCTATGATGCTGTGTGTCATAAAGAGAGATGTGAACAAATGTAAAGATGCAAGATAAAGTCACAACTGCAAAAAATTAACTGTTGTACCTCCTGAACTACTGTAATAATTCTGTAGCTACCTCCTGTTGCAACTGTGGTGAGCTCAGGTGTTTAAAGTATCCATTTAAAACACCCATTTAAAACCCTAATCATCCCCGCATGAGCTGCTTCTCTCTGCAATAAATTGCTTATTGCAATAAAAAGTGCTCTCCTGCGATTCCTGGCGTATTTTTCAACATATAATACATATAACATACAAAATATATATTAATCAACTGTTACCAAYAACAGGTTATTAGTAGATAAGTTATTGGGAAATCTACAGTTATCCATGGAGTTGCACAGGTAGCCAAGGTAGAGAAGGGACCCCAAAGCCCTCAGCACCCCCAGAGCCATTGCCACTGGTCTAGTTACCACCCCAGTAGAGCAGCAGCTGTGCAGCAACCCTGTGACCTCACAGCAACCACGAGCACAAGACGGGGACTGAGAAACTGCCCACCACCCCCACCTTCAGCACTGCAGACACCAAGCCTGGCACCAGTGACAGCACAGCAGGGAYAGGTGGCCTGGGTGGTCTTACATGGGCAGCACCTACTGACGGGGACAAGAAGGTCCTAGCACAAAAGTCTGGGTCAAATGGCTCAATGTAAGAAACACATATTATTTCATCAACAGGAATGACCTCAGGAAAGATGTATTTGCACGCCAGCCTGCCATAACGAACCACCCCAGGAAGCACCTGAGCGGTGTAGGAGACGGAGAGAGGGAACTGGATGTTGTGGGAGGAAAGGGCACAGAGGCAGCAGATGTTGCAGGCCTGGTGGAGTTCCAGTTCAAGGTAGGAAATGAGCAGCAGACTGTAACCATTACAGGTGCCACCCAAGTCTGTAGGGCCCTCACACAATCAGCAACAGAATTACCAGAAAGGTGAGTGAGGGAAAGAATGAGGGATTGCAGGGTGTCCCCGAAGGCCAGGACCAACAACAGCCAGCCCTGYAGAGGGTGAAGATTCTAAGAGCAGAGATTCTAAGAGTGACCACACAAGATGCCAGCCTTCCRGCACAGGGAGAAGAGATGAGGGTGCTGACAACCAGGGTGCAGGAGAACAAGGTGGACCAGYGAGACAGAATATTATGGGGGTTACTGACCATGATCCACAGGGGCTCCCCAAAGATAACCTAGAGAGGGTAGCAATGAAGAGGATAAGGGAAATCAAGGGGATGTGACCTASGGTCAGCAGCCCTCTCAACATGGGTACCACTGCAACTTCAGTTACTGACACAGATGCCCAGGAAACCCTAAACCCCAGGATGGCCAACAGACAAAAATCAGCCAGTCGCCAGCTGAGAAGTCCTCTCCTCCCCAGGCTGAGCAAAGGTGTGCTGAGTAAATTTAGRTTTACCATCTATCCCATCATCCGGTCATCCATCAAGAGGAATGAATAWGAAATCCCAGCAATAAAAAATGATCAGGGCTAACGACCTAAAGGCTTGCTTTTTGCCTGATGACCAGATATCTACCACTATCTGCATTATCTGTGCAGCATGGGGGGTTTTAACACTTTTTTCTAAATAGATCTTCTTTTTTTGGTCCTGAGACCAAAAACACATATTTTTTTTTAAAGTCCTTTTCCTACCAACAAATCTTTAAAGGATTTAAAATTGTTTCATATCTGGTCAAGCTGAGATTTTTTAAAAGAACTTCATTTTAAATTTGTAATAAACATTTACAACTTGATTTTTAAAGGTTTAACAAAGTGAAAGTACCTGTTATTAAAGATTTTTTGTGTGTGTGTGTTTTTTTTTTTTTTTTTTTTTTTTTTGTAGTGCTAGGGATTGAACCCAGAGTCTTGCACATGCTAGCCAAGTACTCTACTACTGAGCTACATCCCTAGCCCTAACATCCTGGGAAGAAAAGGACAGAGCAGGCAAGTACCTGATGGTTTTCCACACGTCGAAGCCGTCCAGAGGCTTCGTGCCATTGGTGTGTCCTCCAGCCAGATTAACGAGGGTGGGCAGCCAGTCGGAGATGTGGATGAGCTCCCGGTTCTTCACGCCCTTCTGTTTCAGCAAGGGACTAGCCACAAAGCTCACCCCTCGAATGCCTCCTTCCCATAGGCTCCATTTTCTTCCTCGAAGGGGCCAGTTATTGCCCCCTGCCAAGGTCTGCCCTCCATTGTCTGAAAAATAATTAGGTCTTAGCATGAGGATGTGAAAGTTATCAGAATGAACAAGCTTGTGACAAACCCTAACAAACAAAAATTACAATAAACAAAACTGAGGTTAAAAGGAGGGGAACCTCATCCAGATATGACTGATGACAAGAACTATCACAAAAGACGTTGCCAGAACCACAACCTTGCACAAAGGCCACCCATGTTTTTGCAAACACCTGCAAGAACGTCTATCCAACAACTGTGGGAACAACCTCGGACCGGTGTCACTCTTGCTACTGATTCCTGCAGCCAAGGATTGTTGTTTGAAAATCACTTATGTAATCCTCAGTTTTCATTTAAAAATGTCCCTTTGCCTCAACCTCTTTGAATATTCTCATAGTTTACTCTGACATGTATATTCCCATGGTGAGCTCCTCTACTCCCAAATGAACTCATGATCTTTGGAGAATCTCTATTGGTTATTTCGGTGGAAGAAGACAATGTTAATTCTCAAATACATTCAAGAACAGAAGGCTTCTGTGTACACTCTTATTAAATGGTACTTGAAGAATAAAAATAAGAACTGCTCCTTACCTTCCTCTACTAACTCCCTTTCTCCCACCCAACACTGCCCTCCATTACGCAGACATAACCACGGTCCAGCATGGCACATGTCCTTCACGTATAGTATAGGGCCCCAGAAAAACAAGGCAGTCCCCTGATTGTGTGACACAGGCATCTATCCCAGGCAAAAACTATCAGCTAAGTCAAGTGCACGTGTGTGACTTTGTATAGCCCAGGAGAATGAGTCCAGGTGAGCCTCAGCTCACATAAAGGAAAACTGGGGGAGTGTCACTTAGTGACTTAAAGCTCCTGAGAATGAGGACAACAGACCTTTCAATATTCTTCTTGGAAAAAGTTGTGAACATTTACACTGGTAATTGAATTAACATTCCACTCCCTGCCGATCTGAACTCTTTCTTAAGTGTGAAAGTTAAAGATTTCTCCAATGATTTATAAATATCTCTGTAAATAAAGTAGTCAGGGGGAAAAATAATTTTGAGACTATTTCTTCCCTGCTTGATAAGATGTCAAGRCAAAGCCTCATGGACAGCAAAGCCAGGGAAGAGAAGGTTTCCCTTCCAAGACAACAGAGGGGATGGGGACACTGGTAAGGATTGGGTGAAAGTTACAAGAGTGACTAAAGATAGGTATCTTACTAGCCAGGTGAGGGTTTGGAGTTAGACATAAGTTAGAACTGTAGAAAATAAAAGTGATATTTCCTGTAGACTGAGTTTGTAGACTCATATTAGCTTCAAAAGTATYCATACACTTAGGTGACTTTAGAGATACATTTGAAATTACACTTATTTGCATACAAGTTGTTCTTAGGGCAACAAATAAACAAAAAYACTGTTGTCCAGATGAGCCACATGAGGGCAGTGTGACAAACGTCCTCTATGGAAATTAGGTAGTAGTCTTCCCTTATCTTTGGTGGATTTATTCCAAGACTCCCAATGGGTGCCTGAAACTAGGAGAGTGCAAAACTCTATATGTACTGTTCTTTCTAAATATAAATGTCGATGACAAAGTTTAATTTATAAATTAGGCACAGTAAGACATTAGTGGTAATTACAATATAGGCTGATTATAACAATACATTGTAATAAAATCAATGTAAATCTAGACACAGTAGCACGTGTCTTTAATACCCACTACTCAGGAGGCTGGGGCAAGAGGATTGCTTGAACCCAGGAGTTCGAGGCCAGCCTGGGCAGCATAGCGTGACCCCACACAAACAAAACAAAACAAAACCCACAAAGCTATGTYAATGTGGTCTTTTTCAAAACCTTACTGTACTATGTCAGGTGCAGTGGCGCCTGCCTATATAATTCAAAGGACTCCCAAGGCTGAGGCAGGAGGATGGCAAGTTCAAGGATAGCCTCAGCAACTTAGCAAGACCCTCAACACTTGGAGAGACTCTGTTTCAAAATTTAAAAAGCAAAAATTATTTGGGATGTAACTCAAGGGAAAAGTGGTCCTGGGTTCAATTATCAGTAACCCCCCCAAAAAAAATCTTACTGCACTATATGTTGGACAAAGGGATGATTCATGTCCTGGGCAGGACTGAGCAGGATGGCATCATACTATGCAGAACAGTGTGCAATTTAAAACATTAATTGTTTTTTTTCTGGAAATTTCCATTTAATTATTTTAGGCCATGTTGATGGCAGGTAACTGAAATTGTAGAAGTGAAATTGTGGCTATGTAGGGACTACTAGATATAGCACAGGTGTGTACCTGGGAGGAAAGAGGTGAACATTCTTAGGCTCCATCTCTGTACCAGGTTAACACCTGGCTTTCACAATATCTCATAGAGCCTGGGGTGGGACAGACATGGAACTGAAACATGATGCCAGGCACTTATTAACTGTGTGGCCAGGGCAATATGCTATCTCAGTTTCCTCATCTTAAATATGGAGATAATAATTCCTATTCCATGTATTATGGTAAGAATAAAATAACACCAGTTATGATAATTTTGGACAGGGCCCCTGACATAACCTAAGTGTTCAATAAATAAATGGTAACAACTGTTGTCATTCTTAACATTTACGACAACTCAAATAGATATAATAATCCAGTACTAGTAATTATAATGATCTTGTCTTATAAACATTTTCTTGCTTTAAAAAACAAATCAGGTTTTAAAAGGACAAACAGCTAGTAAGTGAAAAAGCTAGGATTCCAACCAGGCCTGTGTGACAGTCAGGCCTCTGCCCCTGCAGTGCCAACTGCTAATGTCCCCAGTGCAGGGACATATGAAGGCCTCATGAGCCCTCCGGTCCCTGTGAAAGACACAGGGCTGGCCAGCCACAGCAGAGTGCACTCTTCCTACAAGATAGCAGAAGGAGAGAGAGCTCTTCTAGGGTTCCGCTAATTCCCTTTGGTGCTGGTGGGGAAGAAAATCAAGGCTCTACTGCTAAGGGGGCTTGGGATGGAGCCCCTACCTCTCAGGAGTGGAGAGGGGCCTTGAGCTAGATTAGATGAGGGATGGTAACACTTCTTCAACTGTGGGTAGGTGACAATCAATCTCATTTTTGCTATCCCAGACATACAACCCTTTCCTCAAGTCTCTCTGCATCTGTTCTTTATCAGCCACCCAAGTGAGTTTATGAAATACACATTCCATTTCACATTCAATATCCAACAGAGTATCAGGCACCCACAACCAACGTGCCAAAACTTAAAAATGGAACCCTTCATGCAATGCATACATGCACTGGAAGGAAATGCTTACACTCTACCCCTGTTGTCAGGATTGCTATCAACCATACTGGCTCGATGCCTCAGGAGATCGCCTGTTGTCTCTGTTTAGATAATGTGTCTTTCCTTCCACATATTTGGTGCTCAATAAAAAATACTGGATAATGATGGTGATGGAAATAAGAGCCGAGATGATGGGGATAAGAGTGGCTCTGGAATGTGAGTCTAGGAGCAACCCCTCAGTTATGACTCAGAAAGGAAAATTATCTGGGCTGTAAAGAGAATTTGGCCACTGCTGCTACTGTAGGAGCTGGAAGACATTTCCATGTGTCACGAGGAAAGGGCGCTGATGCAGTCGGTGGACTGTTTTTGCAATTAATTCACAGTGATGTTTTTGCCATTAGCAATAATAACTGATTCTATCATCAGTTATCGGCATGGCTTCCTCAATCTTTTTTTTTTTAAGAACCCTCCGGAGAGAAAGCACTGTCAACTGACACCCCTGCAATTTCTCCTGACTCTCCCCTCACAGAGCCAACTGCAGATGTGACTGCAGGRAAAGGGCAATTCAGCCCCCACTGGTGGCACTTGGTTGGCCCTTGCCACTTACCAATAAAGAAGCAGAGTACACCATGTTAGTCTCTAGTCAGTTAAATGCATGAAAACAGGGTGCCTTCCATCAGTTCTAGTACAGTCTCCTGGGTATTTCAAAGAGTTCAACATAAAACTCAGCAAGAACAAAATACGCTCAGGGACTTGGGTTGTGGCTCAGTGAGAGAGTGCATGCTGATCCTTGGCACCACATAAAAATAAATAAAATAAAGGTATTGTGTCCATCTACATCTAAATTTTTTTTTAAAGAATAAAATAAGGTCATATAAAACATGGTAGAAGGGATTTTTCTAGATTGTTGCTCACTTAAGTCTGACATCAACTAAAATAAAATAAACTAATAATGGAACTACCACCATTTCAAACATATTTCTTTTGCCTCTCCCTCCTAATTTTCTATTTGGCCAGAGTTAATTTTTTTTTGTTGTTAAGAACTCATTTTCAAGACAAAGTTTTGTTTTATTTCCTGAATGATTTATGAAAAAGCTTTCAAATCAAATTAAGATGACTCCCGCTAGCAAAGGAAGCTATGGAACTATTCCCCACCAACCCCCRCCCCCAGAAAGTTTTCTCAGAACATTTTGGCAGAGGGAAAACCTAATTATAAAATCTTTGCTGTCTAGAAAAGAAATGTCAAAATAAAATAAATGTTGTCATATGCAGATTGTAAATCTCACTTTATTATTCATTATTGAACAAAAATAACTGTCAAAAAGTCATGGAAAAACATTGGTTAGCCAAAGATCTGAGCAAAAACATCAACCATATGACAGTGAAGCCATAATCTGTATCCAGCTGATAAAAATTAAGATGAAACCATGACAACAACGTTAATTCTTAGTATACTCCCCAAATAACTTAATGCTGGGCTTGGTTGTGCAAGGCTTCCCTGAACTATTAGCATGTGCCTCTGCCTCTTTGCCCCAAGGATGTTTCAGCCTGGGCTTCCCCAAGACCTCCATCTCACTCTGAATCTGGGATCATGGAAGGAAAGGCAAGGAAGGCTCCAGAAGCCTCCCACCAGGCCTAGCTTTCTTTCTGCCCAGGCACCGTGCAAGTGGGACAAGGATGAGCAGGCAACAGCATTTTCAAAAAAGAGAAGTCGGGGCTGAGGTTGTGGCTCAGCGGTASAGTGCTCGCCTAGC